TCCCCACGCCCCTTTCCCCGTTACGGATGCGCGCTCCCCGCCGCCGACGCTTCCATCCCGGCGGGCGGCCTTATGTAACATGCGAGGAAAGCCGAGTGCGCCCCTCTGGGCAGTCCAGACCCACCCCACACCAAGATTCTCCCTGTCCAGGCTTCTCTGCGGTCAGGCCACTCTCCTTTCACCCCAATTGCCCAGAAAGGCTGATTTTCTTATGTGACAGACCAGGAGTTTGAGGCTCAGAGAGGTGAGTGAATATCCCAAGATCACACAGCCAGAATGAGCTCGTGACCCATGAGTGATCAGCAGTGGCCACATCCTTGTAGGACATAGATGATATATATAACGAAGACCTCAAAGGCCAAGTGAAACCACTGGTGTTCTTAAGCAGTTTGGAATCCCAGAGTATTTACTACAGACTCCTAATCCAGTCTCCCTCGTCTATTCTCATTTTGACAGAGAAACTGAGGCCCAGAGAGGGCGTTCAGAGTTTGACAAGTCATCCACCCAGTGATTGTCAAGAGAAGACTCATTAGAGAAAGAAAACCTGGAAAAGGTCTTCAGATGTTGCAGAGTTCGTGCACAGTCACGGGATCCTTATAGGATAGTGAGCTCCCTGTCATTGAAGGAGTTATTAGCTTGGGTTCTGGGGCCGCACTGAATCGAATCCTAACTCTGCTTTGCATTCTGTGATATATGGGCACATCTGCAGAATGAGGACGAGAAACCCTCTGTCCCGGTGGGACGACCCCGGGGTGTTGTCAAAATTTATCAGAGGGCCCAGAGCAGGACAGTCAGTGCTTTTTGGATGTTAGCTCCTGTTGTTGATGCTCTTCTTGCCTTCAAGGCTGCAGCGGGAAAGACCACACCTGACAGAGGAGAGGCAGGACACTAGACAAAGCTCTCAAAGATCTGACACACTGAGAAGCAAGCCGCAGTACAGCTAGGGTGGCTTCGCCTGGAGATGACACAGAAGACAAAGTACATTCTAACAAAATTATTCGCTTAGGGTTTCTTTAAAATCTGTTGAGTTTCTCTGTGAATGTGAGTTCTCTCCCACTTCGAGTCACTCTGAGGGGCGTGATCTTATTTCATTATGAATCGTTCATCACAAGGAATTGACTTTCTTGGTCCTGTATTTCTCTACTGCTTAGAAAGTACCACGTCAACTGGGAATATACTAGACTTTCTTAGAGCTACATTTCTATATCGCTTAGGAAAAGCCACATCAGCTGTGATGACGTAGTTGATCTATGGTTCTTCCCAACAGCTAAAATCAGAGATTGTAAAATGGAAACAAAGCTTTTGTAAATGGGAAGGAAAGAAGGATTGAAGGGAGGGGAGGGGAATGGAAAAAAAAAAAGAAGGATCAAGATACAACATGTGCAGGTGTGAATTCTCTATGATGAATGTGATCATTATCTGTATCTAAAATGTACCAATTAAGTTAATTAATAAAAAGGAAAAGCCCAGAGATTGTGAACTGGTGGCCATCAGCTCAGTGGAGCCTACAGACATATTTTGTTTGCATTGCCAGGCATCAACCTCCAAACTGAACTGAATCAGTTAGCAATATTTGATAATTAGGAAATTTGCATTAAAAATCCAGATTTCTGGTTTCTTCGTAAGATTTTGGAAAATCTTACATTATGCCACTTGTGTTCCCTAGTTGCCAACAATTGGCTGGTATTAGTTATTGGCAGCTGCGTTCAGTTTAGGCAACATTCTTCAGTTTGTCATAGTCTCCATTGCTCCCTCCTGTTCTCAACAACTAGGCTAAGAATCAATTTGCCATTTAGCAACACATTTGCCTCTCGTCTTCGCTTATAAGAAAGACAGAAGTGGAATAGATGAAAGCTCATGTTCCTGTTTAAAATGAATAAACCAAAGATATATACTGAGAAGGCCATTCTTAAAGAAAATGGGGAATAATATTTTTCTACTTTTAATATACAAAAAAAATGTGTCTGCCTAGAAAAGTAGGAAAACTAGGATGCCATTTTGAAACCATCCTGGCCTGCCTCACTTGTGTCTGTTACCTGAAGGATGAAGGTATAGCTGTGTTGTCATGGCTGGGCTTGATGTTCAATTTATGAGTGAGTGCAAGATATATATATATATATATATTCCTTTATAACCCTAGCAGGGAAATTCTGTGTGCACATTTCAGAGTTTATTGATTCTGTATAAGCATTTGACATTCAATTCACTGGAATCTAAAGATGAAAATCCCTGCAGGTCATTTCTCCCCTACAAAGGACTAGAAACAGATGAATGCCAATGTTGATTTTGTACCTTTTTCACCTGGGAAGCCAGACCACGTGCATAGACAAGAAAGGTTCTCATTTTAGAGTTTGGCCTGGAAGAGGGAATTATGACCTTTGCTTAGTGGAGCAGAAGGGAGGGTCTTGGGCCTGGGAGCTGAAGTTGGGGGTTGGTGACAAATGGTCCCAGCTGTGAGTGGGGGAGAGATGGAGGCAGGAAATTAAGCCAGGCATTTTGTCTCCTGCCAGACAGTGTAGTGAGGGCTTAAGCGATTTCCTTCCATTCAATGTGAAGTAGAAATAGTCAAGAGGAAGCGTCATGTCATATCCAAGCTAGTCTAAATTGTTTACCATGGTTCAGTATGATCTGTAAGATTCAGCTGTGTGGAGACTAGGGGTTTTTTTTGTCCCAGCTCTTCCAGGACTGGACTAAATTAATAGGCTGTTCCATGTTCTTGTAATCCATGCAAACATTCCAGAAAACTACGCTCAGAAGCATTCCCCAGGCTGTCTTGGGAGGGGCACAGAAATCTATGAGGAGAAATCTACAACTTGGTTTGGAAAAAAGTTACCAAGAACATAGTGTGTGTCATTCTGAACTTGAGTTTCTTCTGAACATGGGTATGATACCTCCTTGTGAAGTCCTGGTGAGAAAGTTCACAGGAGATTCCCAAAGCTTGCACCATCCTACCACTCAATGAGCAAAAAAGCGGACTAGACTTCCTAGCTGACTGGCAAAGAATTTACTGGAATAGCAAAAGAAAATGGCTGCTTCCTGGGTAATTGAGGAAAAAATAATGACAGTTTAAACCCATAGCTGCCTTCCGAGCAGGACCCTTTCATTCTGATGAAAACCTTGATGTGTTTGGAGATGTAGAAAAGGGCCATAGGCTGAGAAAGTTAATTAATTCAGCACAACAGAAAATGAGGGATCTGGAAATCTGACAATCCAAGTGGGAAAAGGACACATCCACACTACATACACAAATACACACACACACACAAACCAGAAGAGGGCTGTATGAGACATCTCTGATGCAACACTGTCAGTATCCTGTCCACAACTCCCTCTTCTGTCATTTATGTGTGTGGAGCCATCTTCTGACACAGCACTTGTGTTTCTTTACCTGAGCACATTCTATGGCCCCTGGATCCCACTCTGCCCACAAGCAAAACAGGATTACCACCACATACACACACACACACACACACACACACACACACGCACACACACACACACGCTCGCACACACAGCAGCCCTCAAGCAATGACTGGCAGAAACTGGTAGATGAAAACCTCAGCTCCTTCACTCAGCTGCTGGGAACACAAAGGCTGCCTCATTTCCCCACTCCCCTCCAGAGTTTCTTGGGAAAACTGACCCAATTAACTTCGCACAGTGGAATCCTTGCCTCAGCTCTGCTTCTGGAAGAATCCGAATTAAAATACCGTTTCAGATTCTGTTACCCTTTCCTTCTCCAGGGTCTTTGGCCACTTGTATTAGGCCCAGTCCCCTTCATGGAACACCTATATACCTGGATTCTCACTAATACTGGAAGGTAAGCTCACAACCCTGGCCTCAACCCATACCACATACTGACTCACCCAGAGCCTCCCTGCTGATGGGAATCTGTAATAGGCTCATGGGCTGTTCAGTATCCCGGCAAGCTAGCTGGAAGTGTGGTACAATTACAGCTGGGGCAATTTTTAGCCAGTGGACCCCAGTAATACATTTTTCTCCCTCCTCCCTCCATATGTAAATGTTCCGAGAAAGTATTTTCTAAGACATCTTGGAAGATGATCTCCCAATGCTGAGTAATCAGTCATGTCTAATGCCTCTTATAGGCTCTACCTCTTTCCCTTTTCTTCCCTTCCATCCTCTAGAACTGTCTTCCCCAGGAGAACACAGGCACATAAAGCCTCACCTCTGATGCCATGGCCTGCATAGGCCAAGGAAAGAGATGCTGGAGTTTATCTTCCACACTAAGGCACACTCAGGAACGCATCTTATGAAGGTTATCTGAGGTAGCTGTTGCTTCCTGCTCACTGGCACCAGTTAACATGATGTCACCAGGTGTGTCAGAGCATAACTCTCTATGGACTATTATAACTCAGAAGAGGAGATAACACAACCCTGGGGACAAAATACTGAATATGTACTACTGTCCTTGGCATGGATTTTTAAAAATCTTCCCTGCGATTGCAGTTGTCAGATCATTTAATGTGTTAAAGCTATGTTGATATATTCTAGTAAAGATTGTACATCTGCCATGGCAGCTGCAATTGATGCTCCCGTCTGGACAA